CGTGGAGACCCTCCCCTTCATCTAATGTCCCTGTGCCTGTCTCTCCTGGCCCAGGGAGCCCCGACATCCTCGCAGCTCAGACACTGGCTCCCCTCCAAGGGAGGGGTCCCAATTTCAATGCATCTTCCTGGCAGGGCAGGGTTCTCATTCACAAAGCTGGTCTGGGCTGGGCTGGGCCAATGCAGCCACACAATCTCTGCCCCGCCCCCTCCAACTCAGAACTTGTCTGGGGTGGGTAATGTGGTAATAGTGATCCTGTTAATTGCTTCCAAATGGTCACAGCAGCCATTTGACTAATTGGTCTCTTCCAGACCACAGCCTGGACACCCCCATCCTGGCCCCAGCCTGCCTCACCATCAGTCCTGGGACCTTTGCTCTGGGTGCCCTTACCCCCAAGCCCCTGTCAGCCCTATCTGGTACCAGGGTGACCCCCTGTGGCCCCCACACCCAGGTCCAGGCCCCACACCTCCAGCCCCTTCCCCTGGAGAGGGAGCCAGGGGAGGAGAGGGGACAGGGGACAGTGTCCTGTGCTGTGGGCCAGCCTGTCGACCAGTGTGACTATCAGATGTGGTGCTGACTCCAGGCCCCATACTCCCCCTAATTATGCCCGCCAAGAACAGTGGAAGAGAGACCTGGCCTGCAGTGTGCCTGCCCAGAGCCAGTGGGCCCTGAAGTCCTGTAGGCAGCCCTGCTCAGCCCCACCATACACATCAGAGATGGAGGCTCGGAGAGGTGAAGAGTCTTGGCCAACGCCACACAGCCGGGAGGCAAGGCTGGGCCCCTGGATCTCACCTGTCTGGCTCGGCTTGGGCATCCGGGCCCTCTGTGTCCCAGCAAGCTGCAGGGTGCAGAGCCTGAGCAGGGGGTCTGCTCTCAATCCCGAAGTCACAGAGCAATAATGGTGGCTCCCGAAGGCAGAATCTCCAGGCCCCGCTGGGGCCATTTCTCCATCTGGTAGACACTGCCTCTGCGTAGACCGGTTGGCCACCCACCTCAGCCAGTACCATTCACTCCTGAGGGTAGAGCTCGGTTCTGGCGCCAGGCAGAAGCCCACAGTTGGAGACAGGGGGCACTGCTCCCTGTCCAGGGTGCTCCTGGGTAGCACCCAGCCAGGGACCTCCTTGGCACCATACGTCCCAGGACCCCTGGGCTGGGAGGATGGTGGGGCTGCCAGGCCCCGAGGGGCCTGGGACACTGCCTGTGCCAAGGAGGTGTGAGGGTTGCCTGCAGGGATCTGCCATTCGGGACATTCACGTAAATGGGACCCTACAATATCTGTTCTTTAGCATCTGGCTGCTTTCGCTCAGCGGAATGCTCTGCAGTTCGTCCACACTATAGTGTGTGTAAGGGCTTCATTCCTTTTTATGGTTGAGTGATATTCTGTTGTAAGGATGCCCAAGCTTTGCGTATCTGTTTATCCAGTGAAGGAACTTCGGGTTGTTTCCCACCTGTTATGAAGCGCCCAGCTAATTCCGAAAGGAGGAGAGGGATGGACGTGCCCCCCAAGCCCTCGTCCATCCCCACAGACTCCGGCCTGCGCACCCCTCTGTGCCTGGCATGAGGCCACACATGAAGCAGCTGGCGTGACCAGGAGACAGTGGCCTGCGACTACGTCCCCTGGCATGTGGCCCGGCCTCAGCAGCCCCATCTCCTCATCTGTGAAAGGGAGTGGCAGTAGCTCCTGCTACAGGCAGTGGGCACGGGGATTCAAGAACGAGCTCAGACCCGTGCTCCGGAGCATTCGACTCACCCTTGGCAGCTGGGGCCCTGCGGAGCCGGTGCCTTCACGGACCATCTGGTGAGGGGCCTGGGAGAAAGGACAGGCTGGTCCTGCGTGAGGGCTGTGTGCTCAGCCCGGCCACCTAACGAACACCCCAGCGGGGCTCACGCAGCAGGCACGGTCCCTCAGGCCCGGGGAGGGGAGGGGGACAGGGCCGACCCGGCCAGAGCCTCTCTTGGGCACGTGGACGCCGTCCTCTCCCTGTGCCCTCGCGTGGCTGTCTCACTGTGCGTGTCTGCGTCCTGATCTTTTCTGATAAGGACGCCTGTCATGTAGGATTCGGGCCCATCCTAGTGACCTTATTCACCTTAATCACTTCTATAAAGACCCCACCTCCAAGTACAGCCACATTTGGAGGTGCTATGGGTTATGACTGGGACATATGAATTCAGCCCATAGGTACGCACAGTGAGGTGTGCCCCCGGGCCTGTGGGTGGGGTGGGAAGCAGTCAGGGTGGAGCTGAGATTGGCACCCCCACCGTGGACTGGCAGAGCCTGAAAGGATCTGTGGCAGCAAATCCACACCCATAAAATCACTTCCTGCCCCCCGACCTGGGGTACCTTTTGCCGTTCTTCCTAGAAACTCCGCTGGTCCTGCAAGAGCCCATGCTGGCTGACCCCGAAGGTTGCCAGGGGAAAGGGGCTGTGTTGGGGACCTTCACTCAGCCCCTACAGCAGGCTGCCAGGGGCGAGAGGCCCCCTCAATACATGCCTGAGGGCTGGCGCTGATGGACTTGCGGGCTGTGCTTCATGGTCTCTGCTGTGGAGGGCTGCCTGGGGTCTGTACATTTCTGGAGTCCCTATTGCTCCATTTGTTGTTCCCCCTAAGCGTTCCCAAGGCCAGTAACCCCTGTCCACTCCCAGGTGGGCAAGCGCAGGCAGGATGCCCACCCTTGCGCTCCAGGCCAGGGCTCCAAAGCTCTTGGCACAGTCCCCTGAGCTGAGAGATGGGCCAAGTTGCTGAGCAGATTCCCATGAAGCCTGGGCCTTGGGAGGAGGGGTGAGTGTCCAGGGAGGGGGTTCTTGAGGCAGAGGGCCAGCCTGGTCTGCCGGGCTGGGTGACCTCCAGGAACCTGCATCCCCAGTGACCATCTCCCAGTCCCAAGTTTCAGGAACTACTGTTCGTCCCAGATTCTCTGTGGAAGAGAGAAGGGCACCCAGTCCTTTCTAACTGATGCTGGCCGGGGTAGCTCAGTGGACCACGTCACCAAGGCCACAGGCAATTTCGGGGGCAG